ACATAAATTCGAAGCATTTTGACTAATAATTTTACGTTGTTAGCGCTCGCTTACTTTTATTATTGATTCTATTGTGGTTACATCAATGAAAGTTGGATGTACTTCATGTGAAGCAGCTACTCTCATCGTACCATATAATGGGCGAGTGAAAGTTAGTAAAAGTAAAGATATGAATGTTTTTTCTTCGCATTTGGTTAGGTATTTACGAGAAGAGTTAGACCTACAATTATGTGCAAAGGGGTACCTACCAAAATCAATCGGTCTAAAAGTCCCTTCACATATGTTTCCGAACAGTACGGAAATCTTGCTGAATGGCAGTTGACTTGCACTATAAATTATGCAGTTCTTACCGTGACCTGCAGTAATGAAGGGCCATGGTGACCTGACTAACCAAGCTGCCACTTTTGCACTTTTCTTCACATTCTATATATCGCAAATAAGCGGAAACGAAGGGTCTCCGTAATCGGTTCAACGAACTTTGAGATTTGAATCTAGCTTGTGGTGGCATATACCTCTTCACAATAAACAATAAATGCTTAATTCTCTCAACGTCAAGTCAAGCTTGAGATCACTTTCCTCATTGTGTGCTGTCAAGATAGATTTTGAGCTCAAGATCCTTTGAATGGCTAGAAAATCGTGATTTGTGCGGAATTTTCGAGTAACGATAATGCAACACTACGTCAACCGGTAAAAATGCCAGCTACCTTTCTAGTAAATCTGACCACGATGTTACTTATAGCAAGGAGTCATGCATCTGCATCCACCACCAGTTCCTGCTTTAGCAGCGGAAGAGCTTTTGTGGAACACAAAATGAAACTTACGCGGTGAAGTGGTCGACGGGCGCATTGTGATTACTGACCTGCATCCCAGTTATAGCACACCCTCTGTCTTGTGCTTGCTTTATCGTCAAACTTCTTGTTACGATTGCGACAACTTGGTTCAACTAGACGAACTTGGAAACCAAGACATTACATATGAGGGGATACCAACCGTGACGATTAGTAAGATATCACAGAGCGCCTTTCAACGCTGATTTCAGGTCTGCTTTCCCCTGTTGCAGAACAACCCAGACAGCAGACAGTACTCAGACAGCATGTCTTATTCTCGTCCTTGTTAAATGTACTTGTAAAGAAGATGAGTGCCGACGTCTCGTACTGCCGGACTTGAGGAAGATTGAGAACGGCCCAATGGCTTCAGATCGAAGAGAAGCACAAATCGATCTTTGTGCTTCTTTTCGATCTGAAGCCAAATCCAGACTCTGCGCCAAGTACGA